AACCCATTTGGTTTTATAAATGTTAAGATCTTCTTTTCCATGTCGGAAAAATTTGGTTATTGATTGACTACCAAAAGATTCTTTGATCTTATCTCATTTTTAATTTCTTTTTTGAGCTCCAGATTTATGTTTGTAAATTGAGTTTGACATGGTGTTTGAATAAATTGACATCTAAAAAAATAAGTTTCCATTCGAAACATCATTTAAATCCTGAACAACAAGTTTTTCATTTAAGGAAGTAAAAGTTTAGTTTTGGAACATCAGAATCATAATATTTTTAAATGATATATATGTCTGAACTCAAATAATTTCAGAATAAATTATTTTCCTTTTTTTAGTTTATTGATTTAATAACAAAGTTCAACTAATGTAAAAAGGGAACCGCTCAAAGAAATCAGCGTAAAAAAACTTTATATGAAATAAGTAAAAAAACAAGAAGGTTAACTGAATTGTTGAAATTTTTTTTCGTTTTCTACTTTTTAATTTTAGACAATGTTTTTGGTTCAAAAGTTTTTCTTTAAAATATTTTTTTCACATTTATTTTTAATTCAAAACAATAATATTTTACTAGGATTTACTATTTTTCCGGTTACTACCACTGGACTTTCTTTACCTCCGGGCCCCAGTGATACAATACCGCCATCCCCCCCTCCGCTTGTGGGAAACATGAACTCAATCATTTTGCCTTATTGCCATTATAGAAATAGATGTGGCAACAAGGCCGGCGCAATAAGGGGTGGGGGGGTGACACCCCCTCCCCCCCCCCCCCCATCAATGATTTTTAGTCGGCAAACTGGACCCTTAGTCGGCAAATCGGACCTTTATTAGACTAGTTAGTCGGTAAATGTCGACCCTTTCGATATAGGTAAGACAGTCGGCAAATGTCGTAATGACAGTCGGCAAATTTTGGAAAACGAGGACCTTTTTTTTTTTTTTTAGTCGGCAAAAGTTGTAATGGCACCCCACCCCCCCCCACGTGACACCTACTCGCGCCGGCCCTGTGTGGCAATAACTGTTTAAGTGATAATGGAAAATCATGAAGTCTAAATTAATAGTGTTTTCAAAACAAGCCAAAGAGCAACTCATGTCTAAAAATATATTGATTACTGTTTGCATGATTCCTAAGGGTTAAATTCCAAAAGTGGTTAATGCGGTAAATACCAAAGTATTAAACCTTTCGTAGAATTTTTATATTGACGAATTTTCTTAGAAATTAACTACAAGATTCGTTCACTTAAGGAGGTGACGTCACAACTTGATTTTGGAAACCAATATGATTTTTTGCGTCTGTATAAACAGCATTGATTTTAGTTTTTGTTTTTGTTTGTAGAAACTAATTGATTTGGCCTTTGTTTTTGTTTTATCAGTTTCTTATATATTATACTTGATAAGGAGGGTATCCACGAATTTATGATAACTTAAAGCTTAAAGTATTCTAAGAAATTATTTTCTAATATTATTAGAAAATGTTATTAACAATAATTTATTGTTAAAATTTTTTGAATAAAATTTATTGAATAAAGAGTTAAAGCATAAAAAGTTTGCAATTCGTTTTAAACAGAATTTTTGTTCCATTCAGTTAAATTTTAAACAAAATTTTTATTGAATCGAATCTTGAAATTAAAATCTTTCTGACAAAGATTTTAATTTCAAGATTCAACTTTTTAATGAAAAATTTTGTTTAAAATTTATAAATGTAATTTATAAGTGCAACAAAATGCAAAAAGTTATTAGAATCAAATGACTTAATTAGGTTCAACCATGTTTAAAAAGTTTGACTGCATTTACAGTACACTTCACATTACTGCAATGTGTACGCAGATCAGTTTGAGTTTTTGGCTGTTACAGGGATTAGTCATAAAGTTTACATATTAAAGTAATTGATTTTAATTGAAAAGATAGGATAATTTATTAAATTTAGTATAGGAAGCTAAAGCGTTGCTAATTTTTTTTTACTGGAGCTAGTAAAAAAAAATTTTATGGAATAGAGTTATTTGAAAATTATTATTTTAAAAAGGTTTGTTTAAAAAGTTAGCTTAATTAGGTTTCATTTTTTGCAAAGTTGAAATCTCTAGTCTAAAAAGTTAAGGATTTGTACCTTTTCACATTTTATACATATTTTATACACAGTAAAATCAATCAGTAATTTGCTGCATAATTACACGACATTTTAAAACCTAAAAAGAAGAAAAATTTATATGGCCAAAGAAGAAACAGATTTTATTTATATTATATGTTTCCAAATAAAGATTTTCACCAAGTTTTCCTCAGAAAAAGTATTAATGATATTCAAATATACTTTATTATAGTAAACAACTGTTTTATACTTAAGATATACATTACTTTATTATAGTAAACAACTAGCTGTTTTATACTTATGATATACATTACTTTATTATAGTAAACAACTAGCTGTTTTATACTTAAGATATACATTACTTTATTATAGTAAACAACTAGCTGTTTTATACTTAAGATATACATTACTTTATTATAGTAAACAACTAGCTGTTTTATACTTAAGATATACATTACAATTGAGTAAAAGTTAAGTGTTAAGGGAAGTGTGTTTTGTTGGGGTACATTGTATGTTGGGGTAGAAATACTTTGGGGTACATAGATGCACTTTTAATTTAGAGTGAAATCAAAATAATAATGTAATATTAATAATAAAGCTATTAGAATGAGTTTGTTGTTTATCTAACTAATATTTTTTTATAACAACTCACCTCAAAGATTTATAAGAAAAAGTTTTAGGGGCCATTTAACAAAAAAATGCAGTTCAAATCAAACTGCTCCTATCACGTTGTACATTGATACAAGCCAAGGGCACATTGATTCATAGCAAATAAATTATAAAAAAACCTTAAAAATAAAACAAAACAAAATATCTCCAGTTTTTCTAATTTTTTTTCATAATTGTTTTACATTATAATATTAAATCATAATATAGTTGCTGTTAATTACTTAAAGAGAAATATTGTAAGAAGACAAATTGTTTTAAAATTAAAAAGAGAAACCATCTGTACCTTTCTTGTCTACAGGAATTAGCAACTTTAATGTCATATTTGAAACACAAACAAAACCTTCATCTTTTTTATCAGGAAAAACAAAAGTTCCAGTTGGCTTGTGTTTTAAAAATGAAACCTAGAAGTCATTTTCCTCACCTTCCTTACACCTGAATATAATTTTACCAGCAAAATGCTCGAAGTTACTCTTTCCTGCGTTAATTTTAGTACAACATAATCACCTTCCAGAAGATTCTTCTAACAAGTGGAACAGTAATTTTCAAACTTAAAAATTTGAAAAATCTGAATCCATACATATAGATTTAAAAGTTTTAGTTATGAGTGTCTGAAACACATTTATGCTTGTTCAGTTTGTATCGATGACTGAACTGTTGTAACTGTGACAACTATTTGTTCCTACTGATACCTGCTGTTTTTTTATGTGAATTACTCCTCTATTGTGCATTGTTTTTGTGTAATACCTCTAGTGTATATATATCTACTTCCCCTAAAAATTTCATATTGATTTAAATTATTAAGTTATTATTTATCATTGGAGAGAGGATTAATACAATAATTTAAAGACAAAAAATTATAAAAAATTCTACTAAAAGTGATGTCATTTTAATTAATAATTTTTAAATATATCGGTTTGTTCAAACTAGTACTAAGTAGAGAACACAAGAAAATATTTAAAATATTTTTATAGAAATTATTTCTTTTTAGGATTTTTTTATCGAAATGTTTTCTAAATTATATAAAAATTTTATTTTAGCTTTATAGAAATGTTTTAATAGATATTTTTTTTCTTCTTATAGATGCTGGTGAAAAGAATGTTTTTCTGATTTTTTTTTCCTGTGCTATCTTATTATTCAACTTCTGTGCTATCTTATTATGTTTTTTATATTCATCAGAAAAACTTTTAATGAAACCAGATAAACTCTAGATAGGAGTTGCTTTCTAGTATTTAGAAGGTAGTTTAATAAAACTTGGTGATTCCTCCCTGCTAAATTCAAAGTTTTTTATAACATTTCTATTAACTATTAGTTGTTCAAATAGAAAAAAATCAAGTCTAAGTAAAAAAAAAAAATTCTTTTTTCTACACCAGAGTATTCATCAGTAAGATAAAAGACTGCTGGATCTAAATACCTTTTTTTGGTGATAAATAGACGCAGCTGTAGATGAGATGTAGTTGGTGTTGAATTAAAATGTAGCAAACCTTTTTATTTATCATATGATTTGATACCCTTTAGAAAAGTAATTAAAATTAGTTTTTCTAAGATATCTCAAAATAAAATTTTAGTTTCCTAAACCATTTGAAACAAAAAATAATACTAAAATTATTTCAAATAAAATTTGAAAGAACTTAAAAAAAAAAAAAAAAACTTTTTGCAAATAATTTGATGACTTAACTTCACCATTATTATTATTATAATTTAAAGTTTAGTGTTTGTGGTTCCACTATTGCGTGGTGCGATTTCTGTGCTATTTTCACATTTATGTGTTTATTATGTGTTAAGGCAATTTGTTACAAATGAAGGTGTTGCAGATCAGGATCAAGTATTTTGAAACTACAACAAGAAAGATTTTCATCTGAGGTTTATAAGCTCTTCTCGTCGATGCAATAAAATTGAGATTTTATATTAAAGTTTTTCTTTCTCTTAGGTACCTAACCCTACCACATGTTTTTATATCCTTTGTATTGTAAAAGTTTTTAAAATTAAAAGTTTTAAAACTAATAAAATGTAAATGTTGCCACTTTTTTTTCATATGTTTGATTTTTTTTAGAATAATAAATTTGACCTTGCGTGATCATGTTAGGTTGACTAAATACAATGTACTTTAATTAGTAATAATAAATAATTAAATGAATTTAATAATGATTGTGTTGTAACGACTAATGATTTTTTTTTTAATTTTTTAAAGGTTAATTATAAAATCTATATGATTTTATTTTTTTATAAGTTACATAATCTGTATAAATTATTATAGATTTCCAAGGATATCTAAACCCAAATAGAAAAATAAGTATGCCAAAAACCAGTGCAGAGAAAAATCATAAAAAGCGTCAAAAAAATAAAAAATCGTTAACACCTGTTAGTACTTGTATAGTAGAAGAAAAGAAAAAAGATCCTTTAGAACAAATAAAAGAAGATCTTCAAAAAGCAAAAGAGGCTGGGGTAAGGCAAGTATTGAATATCTTTTTTGCTTTAAACAAAGTTATACAATATAATTTATATAGTAACTAGATTTTTGTTTTTTCATGCATAATTCTTATAAATATATTTTATTAAAAATATTAAAAGAAAAAAAAACAAATTTGTTGCTGACATGATTCAGGGTTCCCACTCCTCCTTAAAAACCTTAAATATCCTTAAAAAATAAAAACCTTAAATATCCTTAAATAAAATTTAAAAATCTCCTTTAAAAAAAATTAAAATTTGACTGCTCTCCTTAATTTCTCCTTATCTTTTTATCTTTTTTTATCTTCTAGGAATTTTTATTAAAGTGAATGGATTATACTTATTAACAAAGAATAAAATGTATAGTTCTTTGATAGCAAACCTATATTTTTATTAAATATATATTTATATTTATATATATAAAGTAATATATTAATTTATAATAATTTCTTTGTTTATATTTAAAATTTATTTTAAAAAATAAGATTCTGTTTTTAATGTAATCATTTTCTCCTTAATTTTCTCTTTCAAAAAATTGTCTTTCACGACCAAATTTCTTTAAATATTAGGAAAATATCTCCTTAAATCTCCTTAAAACCCTTACTTTTAGCCTCAGTTTCAATAGTGGGAACCCTGTGAATGCAAGCAACAAATTATTTATTTGGGAGTATTATTAACTCTAATTGTCCAAAAACATTTTAAATTAGTTACTAATGAAAAGTGTGATTCACACAGCTGTAATGAGTTTTAAATTTAACTGTTTCTATAAACTTTATACAAGTAAGGTTGTTCTAAAAGGTTGTAGCTTTTGTAATTTATTTTAATTCATTTGTGTGCAATAAAAAAAATTATCAGCTTATGATTTGTAATGAAATTTGTTGTATAAATAATAATACAACAAACCCAAACATTCATTCTTTCTTTAAAACTTTGCAATAAATCTGAATAAAATAAAATCACATTAAAAATATATTTTATTTTAAAAAAATAACTTGAATTAGATGAAAGTATTTTTACTCATCATACTGATGTATTTGATATATTTAACAATGTTTTTAATACTACCTAATAATAATACCTACTACCTATAAACTACATAACAAAAAAAATGTCTAGTGATTTTTTTTTAACAATGCTAAATTGTTCTACAATAGTTGTAAGACTGAAGATGATATATTTAATATCATTAAAATATGCTTGAAACTGAGTAAAGTTTTGGTTCTAATTTAGGTCCTATTTTTCTTAAACTTATCCTGCAAATTGTTTTAAAAGATCCCAAAGTACCAAGCCAAGTTTTTTGTGCTAAGGCAAGAGATGTGTTTCTTTAAACAATTTAATTTACACACCAGCTTTCCCATTTATAATTTGTGATTATAATAAAAAAATTTCGCTGCATTTTATAAAGCGTTTCAGTTCTCAGATTTTTTGACAAAATAAAAAATGTAGTTAAACTTTGATCTTTTTTTATATAACTACTTTTATTAAAAAAAAGAAAAAGAAAAAAAACAGTACTTTGTTTTCACTGAGAAGTTTTTTTTATTTTTTTTTATATCACTTAATCCCGAAAATATTTTTTTTGGGTTTTAGATTTTATTGGAATGACTTTATTTAAACAACCCACAGCCATATTCACTTCTCTCATTTAAGCTATCAGACTATTTTAAAAAGTTTTTTCATAGTTTAAAGTTCATTTAGTTAATTAATTAAATAGCAAGTAATGATTGAATTTCTTTTTTTTTTTTTTTAAATGTTTATTTATACATATTAAAAAGGGAAAAGCTCAAACATTGAATATATAACTTAACTTTAATGAAAACTTATTATATGCGTTATTTGTTCACAGTAAATAACTGAGTTTTGTTGGAGTTAAAATTCACAATCCACTACAAGCTCTAATCTGTTACAGAAGTGAGATCAGATTCAAGATTGGCTGCCTGTTCTAAGCGATCGAAAAGAGAAGACTTTTTATCAAGATAGGAATATAAAGTTGAGTTGTCAGCAAATAGAGCCACTTTAGATGTAAAATGATTAATGTAGAAAGATAAGGAAAAATCATTGATGTAAAAAGGAAACAAAACAGAACATATTAGAAACAAAACAGGTCAGATTTATAACAGAATCACAAAATAGATCACAAAACAGAAACAGTAGCAAAACAGCAGAAACAAAACAGAACATTGAAACTTGAGGTACACCAGAGGTTACTGGAAATGAAGTATACTATTGGCCTTCGATGATGACTTTAAAAAAGCAGTTAGAAAGAAATAATTTGATCTTAAAAACTTTACCAGATGCACCATGAGAAGCAAGCTTATGGGGATGACCAGCATGCCAAACACCAAAAGATATTTAAAAAGCTATAGATATGTCAAGAGCAATAACCCTAGCCTTGCCACCTCCATCTAATGCATGATAAAATCTTTCAATATATATTTTTAAGTATATTTTTTCACGTATTTAATCTAATATTTTTAATTATAAACAATTTATAAGAGATTTTAGTTACTAATAAAAATATTTGTAAACAAAATTTATGTTAATAAAAAAATGTCAAAAGAACTTAAATACATTTGTGAAAAGAATTCTCTTAAATAAGAACAGTTCATTTTTTATAAGAAAAAGGTAAAGTTTTTTATTAGCTTTCACATATATTAAGTGACCGGGGCCTTGGCTGTGGCTAAAAGATTTAGCAGGGGTTAATAGCTAAGGTTAGAAAAAGGTAAAAAATTTATAATACATTACACATTAAAATTACATTTACTATTTTTACATTTTTACATAATTGCTTACATTTACTATTTATTAAATACTGGCATAAATTTATATATTTTCAAACTCTAATTTACTTCAAACAAGATTGCAAGCAAACACTATTAAGTTATGAGTTACTTTAAAATAGAGAATAAATAAAAATACTAGGAAATGGTTAACTGAAGTCTAGAAAAGTTGTAAGTTGTATATAAAAGAAAAACATGAAAATGGCTAATAGTTATAAGGTTTTTTTGATGTGCAAGGAAAAAAGCTAGATTAATAAAAGTTTTTGTAGCATGAAGGGACAGATACAGTAAAAGTATACAACTTGTTGAATAAAAAACAAGTAGGAATTAGTTTTGGTTTATCGTAATAAAGATGATAGCTTGTTTGAGCATTGACCATGATTTTATTTGTTGAAAAAAAGAAAGCAATTCAACCTTACAACAATGGAGGAGTGGCTCAAACTTGGGAGATACAGCATGTCTAATTACATTTACAATATGCTTTTAAACTTTGTCTGAGGGTAAGAAGGTTGTTATTTATCGATATAGGAATACCAACAATATTGCAATATTTTTTTGCACTAAATAAATAAGTTTTATTGTCTAATAAAAGTTGTGGATTTTAAATCCAGACTTAAAATCCACAAACCACTGCAAGCCTTAGGCTTTTACAGAAAAAAGTGTAGGCTTTTTGTCAAGAGAAGAGTATTAAGTTGAGTTTTCAGGAAATAGGGCCATTTAAAATTTCATGAAGATCATTATTGTAGATAAGAAACAATACAGGAGCAAAGGTAGAACCTTGTGGAACCTTTAAAGTTACTTAGAATAAAGAAGACGGTAGACCTTAATAACTTTAGTATTGCAGTTAAAATAAAATCATTTAATAACCTCAAAACCTTAAAATGAAGAAACTAATAAGATAGTAAAAGCTAATGTAGGATAGTTGGAGAGGTCAAAGTGTTTTCTAGAGTTTTGAAAAATTGGAACCACTTTATAAAAGCACTTTATAAAAGTTTAGCAATAATTGAAGAGAGTTGAGTTCTAGATAACACTTTTTGGACTATGATGGAAATCTTTTTTGGAGCACAAACTGTAGTAGTGTTTAATTAAAAATTAACTTGAGCATTGGAAGCCAGAGTGATTTGGATAACAATGAGTTAGAGGAGAGTATGGCCATTATATTCAAGAGTCAAATAAAGGTAAGATTTCTTTGCATATAACTCTGCTTTATTCTGGCAAGAAGTAAAAAAAAAAACAGACACATGAACTAAAGATTAAGTGTTAGACTTACTTTAGTTAATGACACTGTTGAAGATTAACCAAAAGTGTCTGGAACCAAACATCTGAGATAAGATATAAGATTTAGTAAACTGAAAATAACAGAGTTTAACATCAGACAGGACTTTTTTACATTAGCTTTTTGCAATAATAAAAGAACATTTGTTCTTAAGAGAGATGTTCTTGTAAAAAAGATAAAAAAAATGATTAATGTTAAATAAGCAACTGCTCAAAATGCTGAAAAATTTGGAGTAGAGGCTTGACTTGAAGTTGAAGAGAAGTAATAAAAGCTTCCAAACATTCATTACAGAAGGAATAAAAGCTTCCAACATGCACTTTATGCATACATTTTATGGATTTTTTGTTTATTTGGATCATTTATTGTTATATAAACTTTAGTATTTATATGGAATAGTATTTGCCAAAAAAAAGACAATCAGATGGATATGTAGTGTGACTCAAGCAAGACAAAAAAAGAACGGATTGTAACATTGTCAAACAATGTTTAACAAAGATTAAAGTTATTTAGGTATCAGCATGTAGAGAGGTACCAGCTTCAGTAGAAAATTGTAGTGGTAGTAAGAAAACTTGAAGAGAGTGCCTTATATATTTTATGAATGAGCTTTAGTTAAAAAAAAATGCTCTAGATTGTTTATATTAGAGAAACAGCATAAAAGAGGAAGGCTAATGGTTTTCGAAGCTGATGATGATGGTGATGATGATGATGATCATCATCATCATCATCATCAAGCTTTAGCATTCCTATTTTATGCTGTTGATGATGATAATTGTGATCATGATGATAATGATAATGATGATGATCATCGTCATCATAATGATAATAATGATGATTATAATAATCATGTTGATCATAACGATGTTTATATATGCATATATATACAAAATATAACATGATTTTTGAATAAAAAAAATATACTTTAGGATGTATAAATGTTTATGCAACCCCGGTCACAAACCCAGCCCCGGCTATATTTTATCAAACCCGGCCCCGGTCAAATATCAAATCCTGTCTTTTACTATTCACATATTTTAATCTACAATTAACAGATTTGTATTTTATGTAATGAATTAATTAGCAAGAAAAAAATTAATTTTTTATTAGATATTGAAAAACTATTTTACATTCTTTTGAAACTAATTTTTACATATGTTTTACTTATTATTTTACATTCCTTCAAAACTGTTGAAATTTTAAAATCATATTTAATTCAAAATTAAAAAAAAAAAAAAATCAGTCAAAGCAATAACAGTTACAATTAAATGCTTTTTTTTACAACCTAATGTTTTCTGAATAAACATCACATTAACAGTATTAAAATATAACTTAAATATTCCAAAATAAAAAAGTTTTTGCTTAATGTAAAACTGCTGAATGCGTACACAAATCACTACTTCGTACATAAAATAAAAACTGCATAACGCTTCTTAACAAGGCCTGAAACGTGTGACTACTGGAATCTTTGTGAATCAAAGGGTAGTACCCATCAATACTGAGATCTAAAGGACTTCTATAAGAAAGTAGCTGGATCCAGTAAACATCTGCTCAATATGAGTATTTTTATTGAGACACCATATCTAGCCTTTACTCAATCAAGAGCCCATAGGCAGGGAATTTGTCGGAATTAGTATTACCTAGCTTTTGCCTAAAAAGAGCTAACCCTACAAGGCAGCAGGGCAAGGAGCAGGCAATAAATGGTTACATGATATCAGTAGCAGGTGATTAAAATGATAATCCTGATCTGATGAACTTGATCTGACCTGGAGTAGTTAAAAGAAGTTTTTTTAAAAGAATATTTTGGAAGATCCAACAGAATACTAGAGAATAAGGTCAGCGTTGGTTTTATTGCTAGAGTCACGAATTAGTTACTGAGCTTACACTGCATCAAAAATTTTAACATAATATAACTTACAAGTAAATAAATGCCTTGAATGAGGTTATTCGGATCTTTTAAAAAAAATGTATTTCCCATTCTAATATAAGTAAATTCTTTTTAAAAAAAACCAGGTTCTATATTTTCATGGAAAAAATTAAATGTCTCATATGACAAACTTGAATGGTTTGCTACTGAAAGTTTTTATCTAAATCAATTTTTTTTAATATAAATTATTTTATTAATTTATTTGAAGGATCATAAGCTTGCTACTAAGCTGCGTCAGGATTTATGGGTTCTTCAAGATCAAATGGCTGGAGTAAGGTACATGTTTTATTAATATTTTTTACCTTGATTTTGACATCTGCTTATCATTAAATCATCTATGACATTAAATTTTTTTTTTTTTAAATAGACCTGAAAAATAATTTCATGAATATTTACAAATATAAATTCTACTAATATCAAGTAAACACCAAAAATATAGAAAATAAGAGATTTATCAAGTTAGATAATAAAATCAGGAATAAGAAAATGGTAAGTACGATAAAGAGATAACAGGATAATGAGAGCAACCTTTGTTGCTCTCAAAATTATTTGTTATATTGCTTCTCAATACTAAATAATGCTTACAGTTTGTGAAGAGTATCATGAAAAAAAAACTGTCTGTGACAAATGTAATTCATGAATGGTAGAAATTAAAAGGTAAAAACTCTTTCGCCAACAGAAACACAGTGTTGACTGTTGTTCAAAAATTTGAATCTACTTGTTCAGTGCTCGATCTAAAGACACTTGGTCCACATCCTGTTTGGATAGCAGCATTTATACCTAGGTTCAAATGGTGCAACCTTCATAAAGTTTATATATATATATATATATATATATATATATATATATATATATATATATATATATATATATATATATATATATATATAAACTTTTTTGTCAAGTTTCATGTTTCAGAGTTTCAAGAAAGTTTTTAAAACAGTTTTTTAAAAAATGAGTTGCTTCTTTAAATTTAGTAGTATCTTCCATCCAAGGCCGGCGCGATAGGGTGGTGTGTGGGGGGGGTGTGTGACAACCCATCATCAATGATTTTTAGTCGGCAAACTGGAGCCTTAGTCGGCAAATTGGACCCTTAGTCGGCAAATTGGACCTAGTTAGTCGGCAAATGTGGACCCCCTTTCGAAATAGGTTAGACAGTCGGCAAATGTCGTCATGACAATTGGCTAAATTTTGGATAACGAGGACCTTTTTTTTTTTTTTTTTTTTTTTTAGTTGGCAAAAGTTGTAATGGCACCCCCCCCCCCCCCCCACGTGACACCTACTCGCGCCGGCCCTGCTTCCATCTTGAAGAGATAAAAAGTAGTTTTCAAAAAATGTGTACATTCTATTAAAACAGGAAGTATGTCGAAATCAAAATAAACCAAAATTTTAGTTGTTTCAATGCTGAAACCTACATTTTGGATATTTGATTGCTGAAACCAACATTTTTTCATTATTTCATTTTACTAAAACTTATATTAAAATTTTGGCAAAACTAGGAAATTTAAAACAGGAAACTCTATCTAATAATGCAATTTTACATTTATTCTCCATAAAGCAAGGGTGTATATAGCAAGTGTTTGTGAAGCTAGCGAGTGTTTGTGGAGCAGAGTTTACTGCAAGTGTTTGTGGAGAAAAAGAGTTTACTGCAAGTGTTTGTGGAGAAAAAGAGTTTACTGCAAGTGTTTGTGGAGAAAAACATGCAGCTGTTGAGTCTAATGGATTAAAATGTTAATTTGTTGCCATTAAGTAAAATACTAACTATATAAAATATGAACTGAAGAAAATTAAAATAAGAATTACTTTACAAGTAAAATCAAAATTTGAAATTAAATCAGTGCTAAAAGAACTGAATTAAAAATCAAAAAATAAATTCATATTCAAAACTTAAATATCACTTGAGTTTGATTTACTACTTAAATAGTTTTTGTAATTCTTCCAATAATAATAATAATTTGTAATAAATCCAATAATTGAGAATCCATAAAATCATTCAGAACTTGTTTGGGCAGTCTAGAATTTAATAATTGGTTGATTAAGATTGGGCAATGACATTTTTAATCAAGTTAGGAAAGCCTGTAGTATTATTATTGGGAAACTTGTTTGTATTCATTGAGTGATATCTTTCGATCTTAGATAACAATTGAATAATCATAAAAAAATAATGAAAATAGGAAAAAAATCTTATATTTTATATCTTGGAAAAAATCTAAAAAAATAACTAAAAACATCCAAAAAATTTGTGTTCATTTTTTATTTATATTTGTTCATTTTTTATTCTGCTAATATAACTTGTTTTGTTTACACAAATTGTTATCTTATGTTATATTATGCAAATGCAATGGTTTGATTATTTGCCGTTTTAATAAGCAGATGGACATGTGCTATTTACTAACTAAAAGATTAAATAATTGTGAAATGACCCTAAAACTCAATTTAGATAATTAGTGGCCCTAAATGGCCCTAAAACTCAATTTAAATAATTGTGAAATGGCCCTAAAACTCAATTTAGAATAGATAAAATATTTTGTGAAAACTGCCAAAAAAAACTTTTTCTAAATTAAATGAAATTTAGAATCATACAGTTAAGGTTTTCATTACTTTCAGTTTTCATTAAATTTTCATTAATTGTTTTTAAAGCCGAAAGTAAGTTTCATGTCCAATTTATAAAAATAAAAAAAATTTGTAAAATGTACCAAAACTGAAGTTTTGGTATATGTTCAAATTGAAACTTTATTTGAAATTGAATTTCATTTGATCACAAGTACATTCATTATTTCTTTATTTTTCAGTCCTTTTTTAAATGAAGATGAATTAGAAGAATCTCTCAGAAGAAATAGAGAACGAGAGATGTCATTTCAAGAAAAAACAGTTGAAAAGTCTGTTAGCAAAGCAGATAAAGAACTTAAAAAGCTTCAAAAAAAACTTGATAAAATACTGAATATAAAAAAGATGAAAGAAGAAGGAAAAACATTAGAAAAAAATCAGGTATACAAACTTCCTTTATTTAAATATGGATAACCTAGTAACCTAGATAAATAACCTAGTAGACTTTAGAATTAAAAGTATAGATTAAATAAATAAATGAGGTGTGTAGAGCAATTCCACACACCTTTATGTTTTACTTTTATCAAGGAAGTGGAGTTTTTTAATGCGTATAAAAACTTTTTTTAAATAAAATTTTTTTTGGTAAAGAAATAATCTTTATTATAAAATACTAATTATTTTTTACTTTGTATTTTATGATTTGCTAAAATAAAAGTCATAGCTCTCAACAGAATGGCATCACTATGTGACACAGTATGACAGCTTGACAGAATGACAGTTTGAAGTCACCTTGTGACATTTATTTTGAGCTATATTTATCAAAAAATAAATAAAAATAATGCCTTTGTTTTTTAAAATATACTTCGGTTATTGCAATAGCCTTTTTTTATTTTTGAAATGTAAATACCATAAATCTTTGTTTTTTCGATTTATAAGTATTATAAAAACGTTATAGTGTTGCATGGAACTGATAAGGGTTAGGGTAAGAGTCAGGGTTAGGGTTAAAATAAATCCTAAATTTCCAAAATTTAATAACCTTTTTTTTTTTTTGTCAAATAATAGGACAATATCAGTAAAATAATATTTTTCTGGATAAAACCCTGGTATATATATAATACTTCAAAATTATAATAAAAAAAACTTGTTAAATTTCCTATTTTTTGTTTATAGTTAAAAACGTCGTTTTCTGTTCACTTAAGTCTAGAATAATAATTTTTATATAAAATTATGATTATTTCTGAAGTTTTTATATACATACGTTTCTTTTGAGACCCAACATTTTAATGAGTATACATATATATATATATATATATATATATATATATATATATATATATATATATATATATATATATATATATATATATATATATATATATATATATATATATCAGGCCATCCCATTTTGACCCTCATGAACGAATTTTATTTTACGGAATGTCTCAAAATGTTCCCAAGGTATTGGTTTGTTAATGACATTTTTATATTTTTTATTCTGGACGAGTATTTATACTCGTGCCATTTGTTTAAAGTTTAACTTTTTCACATTTTTTGAGTTTTTAAGGGCATTTTCAAATGATCGGTGCGAATAGAAATTTATAAACCTTTAACAATTTAATTGCGTCAATACAAAGAATGGAAGGTTTTTTATCCATACCCATTGTGCTTATTTTTATTATTATCGTATTTGATACCAGGTGGTACTTTTAAAACGCAAAAATCAGATTTTAAAAAAGTACAGTTTATCAAACAATCGTTCATCAAGCTACTTAACAATTTTTAATTGTAAAAAATCAATTATTTCCACCTCGAGTAAGTTTATTATAACAACATAACATAATTATGTGTTATATTTTATAATTATAGTTAAATAAATTAGGTTATTTAAACATTTATAGTATTATAAATAACCTTTTAAATAATTTTAAACTTCATACAAATTATGAAAATGTTTATAGTGTTTTAAAACAATGATTACCATTATAAAATTTTGTTTTAAAGCTAGCTATGACAACAAAAGTATCTGAGGTGTACCTCTGTCTCAAGAAGGGGTTAAAAAAAAGGAGATTTAGTCACAACAGCATGTTCCTAGTTAACGTCACTCTGGATAGAATGAAAACAAACCAGCTGCCCCTAAGGATTCACATTTTCCAACGCTACTTATTTTTTAGAAAAATAATTTTAAACTTCATACAAATTATGAAAATGTTTATAGTGTTTTAAAACAATGATTACCATTATGAAATTTTGTTTTAAAGCTAGCTATGACAACAAAAGTATCTGAGGTGTACCTCTGTCTCAAGAAGGGGTTAAAAAAAAGGAGATTTAGTCACAACAGCATGTTCCTAGTTAACGTCACTCTGGATAGAATGAAAACAAACCAGCTGCCCCTAAGGATTCACATTATCCAACGCTACTTATTTTTTAGAAAACAATTTCCAAAGAAAGCACTAAAGGATCTCATTTCTTGTCCAAAACTTTCAAATTAGCTTTTAGCTTTAGAAATCAATAGATAAGAACCTTATTTCATGTTTTATGTCAAATATAGTAAGGACAATTTTATAAGATATGTTTTTAATTTATGTAAGTTCTTTATATGTTAAAATGCATAACAAACATGAATTTTGCATTGTCAGTTGTATCCTTTCTGGGAGCTTAATTCCTTGGAGAAAGACTGGCTTCAAAGTCATCAGCGACAAAAGGATGATGTACCATGTCAAGAAATATGTAGAAAAGTACATAGTGTTGAAAGGTTTAGGAAATTAAGTTTTACTTCAAAAGCTTCATTCTGCAGCTTTTGAAGTAAAACTTAATTTCCTAAATATTAATATATTAGTGTCATAATTTAAGAATAATTTATTTCAAAAAAGTAACAAATAAATTATTTTAGAATAATGGCCTAAACAAATGACACTTATTACATTAGATTTTAAGCTGCAGAATCAGAAAACTCGCACGTCAAAAACCACAATGCCCAAAAAAGAGAAATGTAGTCAGCCATTCTGTTGATCTCTTTGGAAATTTCATCACTCAGAAAAAGAACCTGTCTGATCTTAGGGAGAAGCAAATTGAACATCATATAGTACAATGCCTTTGCCATGAACCTGGCATTTGAATAGCTCCGGTTTTGTGAATTTTATACCTAACAGTCATTATTAACCTTGCTTACTATATTGCTATACTTACTATATATTATTTTTAACTCACACTCTTGGGATCAACAAAACTATTGGCAGATGTGCCATTACAATGAGTGTGAGCCTGCCGCAGAAGTGGTATTATGGCAAAACCATATGTGGTATTTTGATCCATCAACCGTGGTGCTGGCGCTAGCATGTTCTAATAAAAATTATTACATAGAAATGGAAAAGATGGTAAAAGTTCTTTATTCAACCCAACGGAGTGATATTAAAAATGTAGGAATAAGTAGAATCAAAGCCAAAATCCCTTCTGATTACGGTTTCTGTTTAATAAAGACCAACCACCAAGTCTTGAATCATATATTTCCACAGATTCCTGGTTAATTTTTGATGTTCTAGGTCTTCTACTTCTGAAAAATGTCTATGGATGAAACTCCCTTAGATTTTTTGGAAAGAATTTCCAGGATACAATGAGTTTCAAAGCTTTGTAAAATCTGTCGAAGTTGTTAATGACTCATCAGAATGTGCAGTAAAACTCATTCAAGATAATGTAGAGCGTGCGAAGAGCGAGGAAAAACTTCAGAACCTAAAAAAAAATATTATATTACGTATTTTCTAGAGATATTTGTATTAAAGGGAAAGATTTATTATATATATATAATAAGTTATAGCAGTGGTTAGAGTTCTTGCTTTAATATCGGAGGTTCGAGGATTAATGCCGGTTTAGTCATATAAACGACATTGATAATGAAATTAGGGTGAACTTCGTAGTAAAACTCTATTTTAAGTGCTCATCACAAAGCTACCGTGGTGCTCTGTGATGAGCACTTAAAATTTAATGAGAATTTAAAATAACATACACAAAATTTAAACAGATATTTCTGAAACATATCAACACATTTTGATCTAGTTAAATTTACACCGAAATATTGAAAGTCCTGTAACAAATCTTTTGGGGGTAACCATTTTGAGTTGGGCTTTATTTGTTCCAATTACAGTAATTTTTTTAATAGCATTATCATTTGATACCAATAAGAAGTAAAAAAAATGACAATTGCACCATGACTGAAAATGACCTTATAGATCAACAAAAAGTCATTTTGAAATAACACAAATTTTGATTTTTCTATACTTCTAACAAGAAAAAATTAAAAATTAAAAAATTTGTCATATAAATATGACCTCTATGCCACTCATTAGCGACTCCGCATGTAATTTGGTTCTCAAAAAAAAATTATGGGATTCCCTAATATATATATATATATATATATATATATATATATATATATATATATATATATATATATATATATATATATATATATATATATATATATATATATATATATATATATATATATAGTATATACATATATAGATGCATAATAAATAGTGTAACGGTTAAAAAAAAGTAGTAATAGCACATGAAGATGGGTGAGAGTTTCAGAAATAAATTAGAACAAATGTTTTTTGCAAATAATAAAGATGTAATAAGATCAGACCCATAAATAAGAGATAGAATGTTGACTTAGTTAATGATTTCCCAAAAGTCTCGATAACTGAACATCTGAGAAAAGATTTAGTGTTTGAGAATAGTTATAGATTAGTAACTGAGACTTATGTTCTACTAGAATTTTGGTAAAAAAAGTTGTTCTTTTATCTTAGCGTCAAACAGGACTTTTTTATATTGATTTCTTACAATAATAAAAAGATATTTGTTCTCAAAGAAAGATGTTTTTGCAAAAAAGATGAAAAAATGCTTACAATTTAATATAGCAGCTGCACTGTAAGGTAAAAACCATGAAGAAGAATGAGGCCTGACTTAAAATAAACAAGATGTAATAAAAGCTTCCATACCTGCCTGAATCCAGGAGGTTACGTAAGAGACAGATTTGTGCATACATAATAGGAATATATATGGATATAAACAAATATGTTTGCTATTTATTTTATTTTCTGGCAGCAAATATATCCTTACATATTTATATAAACTTTAGTTTTTATTTGTAGTATTATTTGCAGAGATAGAAGATGATGATTGAATGGATGTATGACTCTAACAAGATAAAAAAAGAAGCCAAAATTTTAGATAGAGGTTATAAATAGTGAGTGTTTTAAACAATGTTTGTCAGAGAACATTTGGTGGTGGATTCAGTATCAGCAGGTAGCAGGTAACAGTTTAATGAGAATAAGGTAGAAGTAAGAAAACTTGGAGTGTAAAACTTGGAAAGAATATGCTTGAAATGTCCATATTAGAGAAACAGCACAAAAAGGGGAGGCTAAAGCTTGATGATGATAATA